GCAAGTAGCAAGTAATATTCATGTACATGTAATTAGTTTAACAAATTTGAATTTTATTTTAGTTTTTTTAAGTTGTTAAGTGCTGTTAATCAGTGATTGTAAATAGCGCTCTAGAAGTTATTAAATTATTATTATTATTATTATTATTATTATTATTATTATTATTATTATTATTATTATAGGACGCCAAGTGTTATTTTTTTTTAATAATAAAAGACTAATAAAAAAATAAATATCAAACCAGAAATTTCTCTCTTCAAACTGTAAATTATAAATGATCCTGAGAGAATATTCACTGTGTTAAGGATTTCCCTGCTGTACTGTTAGCTCTATACAAGAGAGGAAGGGCGATTCTTTTTTAATTTCCGTTTCGCTGACACAGCTTAAGCAGAAATCTCTCTTTAGTCGTTTTCGTCGACAAAATGAATAGCAATATTTCTCGCCGCGTCTTCAGCCATTTTTTTCTGCCTCGATTCGTGAAGGACGCGTGGCTCTGAGCGTGGGTCATCCACGGGGAACACATTCGCGCTATGTGATTGGTTGTTTTCTAATCCCCCTTGGAATCTTTGGTCTTAAAAATAACTCGAGACGAATTACCTATGGAATAGGGTGTGTATGGAGGATGCCTTCTCTGTCCCCTTTATCCTCTCTTGGCTATACCGTAAATGAACTAATAAACACCCACTCTCAAATAAACGCTTCTTACCTAATAAACGCTCCCCCTACGCTGTTAAGTTTGTATTAAACGCCCCTCTCTAATAATCGCCCCCTGTCTAATAAACGCCCCCAGTGAAAATTGCTCCAAAATACTAGGAAATGGCAAAATAGAGCAAAATCAATCAATTTTTTCAATTTCTTTGTTGAAGTACCTTCTTGATTGTAGCAAAAGGGAAAAAAATATTAAATTAGAAACCTTGGAGTGCAAGCCGTCAGCCCGCAGTCGAGATTTTGTTCACACGCAAAAGTTTTCGGCCGAAAGCATATTGTATTAAAAGTTACAGGAATAAACGCCTCCCTCTTTTAAACACCCCCTCTTGGACCCCTAAAATTTAATTAACTTTGGGGGAGTTTAATAAATCATTTACGGTATTCGTCTCTTCTAACCAAATCCGAGTGAATAATTACCCACCGCTGCTGAGCAACAACAAAATCAACACAGCTGGGGCGCGACCTTATTAACAACACCTGCTAAACCAAAAAAAATCACACCATTTTGTTAATTTGACCCTAAGCCATAGCTTGGTAGAAAAATGTTTGCAAAGCCCTTACTAAACTTGGTGTGGTATCTCCCTCCTATTGTGAGAGACGAAACTAAAACTTATTAAAAGCACATTTCTAATGGAGGTGACAATAATAACGATATTTCCATGTCAATAAATTTAACTGAAAAAAGGAGGCACCATATGCAAAATTAATTGAGGAAGATATATATTTATTTGTAAAAACTGTGTTACGAAATACAATGAATACACTTTAAAGACAAAAAGAAGTGTTTAAATGTGTCTTCATTTTTTATGTGCTATTCTTTGGTCGGTTCATGGCTTAAGAAATCAGCTAATAATATATCACAATATTAAAAAGCTCAGCTGAGTTTTGCAGTTTACAAAAGAGACCTTTACCCCTCCTAAGCCATAGAAAAATGGTTAAATTGGTGATCTAATAGAGAGCTTTAGATTTGAGGACGAACTGTGCCGACTGCGGGGGCGAGATTTAACTTCGAGTATTCTAGAAATATATTCAACCCAGAAAGCTTCATTGTACTGTTTTTCACCTGAAACATTAGTGCGGTTATTTTTATTGAAGAATGCTTTAGCCCTCTCCCGGTAGCAAAATGATTAAACTTCTAAAATTTGATAACTTGTTCCCGCTACTACGACGTCTCGCTAAAACTCGTAGGCTATCACGTTTTCTCGCCAAAATGACGCTGGCGTAAGCAATACTCAGTATTGAGAAATCTCGTACTTGTAGTCGTCCTCGTTTCAGAATCTAAAGCTCTCTACTATTTCCATTTCAATTTAGGTCAAAATGTTGAATAAAAACGAGCTCAAAAGTACCGTGGGGTATCTTTAACGGGAATTGTCTCACCTATTCCATATGAACTGATTCCTGCTAAAAACATCACGAAGATCAAAAGGGAGAAAGAACTTTTCATGGCCTCTCCTATGCTCCACGACAAGAAAGGCTTCTTCTTTGAGAATGAAACAGGGACATGAAGCAGTGAAGTTCCTGAATCAAGTGACTAATTTATTGTTTAAGGTTGATTGATTGATTGATTGATTGATTGATTGATTGATTGATTGATTGATTGATTGATTGATTGATTGATTGATCGATCGATCAACTGATCGATTGACTGACTGAGTAACTGGCTGACCTCTATGTTAGGGACTGGCTAACTGTTAGAGGGTGACTGCGCTCTTTACATTGACCAAGGCCGGTTGACTGGTGCGGTTTTCATTGACCTACGGAAAGCATTCGGTACCGTCAACTGTTTCAAGTGCTGCTGGAGTTTGGCGATTCCGGTTACCGTGGTTTGCCAATATTGGAAGGCAATGAAATACTAATAATTATACACACAGCAGTAATAACTGTAGATTTAATAACCGTAGAGCGTGCAACGTGACATAGTGATAATGATGATAACTTTTATCTAAAGTGCTCTCTTCATTTATTCGCCCGAAGAACACGCGACGGATAAAACATATTTGCGCATACTAATATTTATAAGATGAACTAAGTAAGGGACAATCAACTTAGATTGAATTAGTAAATCAAGAATTAGTCTTCCATTTAATTACAATCTCTAACAATAAATTTTATCTAATGTTTTACAAACGAGGGTTTTATCGGAGTATAAAGCCACGAGGCGAAGCCGAGTGGTTTTATAATCCGATAAAACCCGTCCCGCGAGTTTATTGAACGACTTCAAAAACATTCCTGGAAAAGCGTGTCTCAATGGAGTTGTTAACAATGACGCTTTTGTGAACGTTATAAATTAGCATATAAAAAAACATTAGGTATGAAATTATTATGTAAGAAAATCAAATCTCACACGTGTTTAGAAATTTTCCAGTCTACGAACGAAACTAACTAAAGAGGACATAGCGTCTTGTTCCAGAGCTTTTCGGAAGCCTGCCGAAGAAGAGAGGAAGTTAATTGAAAATGGTACACCAAAGTCAACTATTCCACTGAAAAAGTATTCTTTGAAAAAATTTTTCTGGAATGGCCGAATGGTAGGTAAACAAAAATCCAGTACTCGAGCCTTGCGTATTCACAACTGACAAGTCTTGAGTGCAACGCTTGGACACCGCTATAGCCAATATTACTGCTCTGTCACTGAACTTTTGGCTGATTAAATTGCTGAAAAAACAAAGTTTCATTTTTTGGAATAGTAAATTTACTGCGTGTGTTATTTTGAAAGAACATTAAATATTCAAAGGATTCGCGACGTTCGGGAATGTATCAAAGTTGACTCTTTTTGACAAGATTGTGCACGTAAAGTCTGTAGGTTTTCGGTTTTATTCGGCTATTTGACGAAGTGAGAGCCGAATTAGTTCGAGATATCTCGAGATCACTTTAATTTCTTTGATTAAGGGTGCGGTCGATTGGGAAATCCGGATTTAGATTTTCAAAATCTAAATCTGGATTTCCCAATCGAACGCGAAATCCGAAAACGGATTTCACCTCCGAGAAATCCGTCCAAGAAATCCGTCCTCAGGGTGGATTTCAATTAAGAAATCCAAATCCGGATTTTTTGGATTTCCCTTTTTGTCGTTCGATTGGGAAATCCGAAAAAGGATTTGCTAAACTGTTCTCGTGAACAGTGGACTATCTTGTGCTAATAATGCGTACGAGTTAGATTTTGAAAATCTAAATCCGGATTTTGCACCCTAATTCTTCAACTTTATCGAGGAAGAAAGAATTATTATTTCGGCTTTCCCGGGGTTTGAACCGACTCACCTGTGTGACCCGTCAGATCAGAGGAGACTTTAAGTGGAGGGAGTAGCCGATTGCGCTACTGCGACCCAAGGTAGGTCGGGCTATGAAAAATAGTTATGAAATCGTGCACCAGTTTCGGGACAAGATTGGGCGTGCAAGTTCGTGGCTTTTCGGCTTGTTTCGGCTATTTCACGAAATGAGACCTGACTACTTCGTGATATCTTGAGATCACTTCGAGTTTAGTCTTTAATTTACTCAAGGAATAAATAGAGGATATTACATGGCCGTGCAGAGACACGAAATTTCTCTTTCACGAGCCCTCCTTTCGAACTGTTTCAAAGTTACAAAATGCTGCACAAAGACATTTTGTCTTTGTTGAGTGTTACTTAGTAAAATTGCTTTCATTTGTTGCCTGATTTTCTCGAACGTTCCCTACGTTTTTGGATTGTTCATGAATAATTAATTAGGGCATGTTTACATTTCAGCATGAGTCAGCAGATTTGCATCGGTTACTGAAATCATTAAATATGTCGAAAAGCTACTACTATTCGGCTGTGTAGTATTTTCTAGAACCTTATGTCAAACGGTATACAAGTTTCAAGCGAGCTCTTTTGACGAACTAAGTTTTTTCCCACGAGCAGGACTGCTGTGTTTAATCAAGTGTGACGAAGGTCGATTTTGAAGTTCTGTCTTTACAAGTTGGCGGAAGCCGTAAGATATCTGAAGTTCAAGTGAGAGTTTGTTATTATTGGCAGAGCCTGTTTAGTTTAAATTAAGTTCAAGTCAAGTTTGTGTTGGCGGATGCTGTGTAAAGGCTATGTTCATTTGGTATTACAGTGCGTTTCACAAAACTTTTGACGAACGGTTTCCGAAGTTCATTTCAAATTCCCGAAGTTCACGACGAACTTGGCAATTTCATTACGCAGTTGTCAATCAAATCGCGAACTTGAGAACGAAGAGATGAATTTCACGTGACAGTTCGAAGGTTCGCAAGGTACGAATTGCTTTTGATGCGCGTGGGAAATTCAACTGCATAAATAATGGCAGATTTATCGAATTGGATGGAAACCTTCAAGGACAAAATGGATGATAAAAGTTATCAGATTATTTTTGAAACACTCGCTTCGAACCAATTTACGAGTAGGCTTCAACTAAAACTTCTTACCTCGGATCAAGTCGACATGATGTTTTCAAAGGAACAAACCTTACCTTTAGGTGCAAAAAGCTTGCTGATGTATCAATTAGATTTCCTTAAGGAAGAATCGCCGCTTCCAGTTCGAGCCCGGGGGCATAAAGCAGAGCGAATGAATATCGATGAAACGTCCCAACCCCATCGAGAAAAGCACTCGAAGTCTGAGGTGGAAACGCGCCGGGTAAGTTTGCACGTGTTTTAAGCGGGAACCTTTTGGTTCGTTGTTGAATTCAGCATTCAGTCGAGTCTTCGTCTAACATTTAAATCATTTCCGTTCTAGTGTGTTCTTCCAGCTTTGCAAGAGCAGGGAAAAAAATTTAAAGAACAGCTCGAAAGGGGAAAACAAGAATATCGAGAAATTGAAATGAACTTGGAGTCTAGATGATCTAAGTGCAAGAGCCTCCAGCGATTGGAAGTGCTAAAATTGTCTGTAGTTACTGTCACCGCAATCAGATGACGAAACCATGTCAGCTGAAGAAGTGTGTTGACTATACCTTTTGTGGAATTAAGGAGAAACATCCCGAATATTTCAACAAGCTGAATTCCTTGAAGGTGGATCTCAAGAGAAAACAAAAAGAAATTCACGAGCTTGAAAACCAAGCCAAAGCTATGGAAGATTTTTCATCGAACAATGAATTTCATTTCATAAAAAATTTAACCCCTCGTTTGTATGCTGTGGATCCCTCGTATAAAACAAACAAACCCAAACTTATGCGAGATGTACGTACGCTGCGAAATTTTCTTGATGGAAAAATTCCGAAAGTATGTGCGGATGATCCCGAGCAGTTACGAATTCTCCTTGCAAAATGCGAAAAAAATCTTCGGCAAGTGGCCAATTCTCCTGATTTGTTCGAAGAAGGAGAAAGTTGTGCGAGTGTAGAATATTGTAAAGACATGTCGCCGGTTAAGTCTAGTTATTCTGCAGATGGAGGTAAAGAAAGCGCTAGTAAATAAGATACATTTAAATTACATTCGAAGGACGACACTAAAGATGACTCCACTTTATTAAGCGAAAGCGATGATTGTCGACGTAGAAAACGCAAGCGAAAGAGAAAGAAGATTAAAAAGAAGAGGCGGCACCATTCAAGTTCGAGTTCAACTTCTGAGAGTGAGGATAAATTTCGCGCGGCCCGCCTAAGCAGACATTCGTTTACACTGCCTCACTATTACCACGGATATCCAATTCCTTTCAATACCGGTCATAGTGGAAATATACAGAACGTTGCCCTGAACACATCACAAGTACACGGTATGCACTTCGAAAATACCCAACATCCGAATTTTGCGAATATGTTTTATCCACAAACCCCATTTCCTATTCCATTTCAACTTCCTGTTCACAGTTTTCAAGCTACTAACTCAAATATTCAACTGGCGAATTCTACTTCTAGTACCGTGACTGAAGAATCGCTTGGATCCTATACGCAGGATGCCCAAAGTCCTGGAAGATGGGGTGGTTTAAATACACTAGTAAATGTTGCCACGCACTTTGCAGACACTGATCCGAAACAGAGCTAATGTAAAACTTTTATCATGTATCATGTACTCTGACTCCTTGGCTGGTGTGTAAAACAGTTGTGTTCAAAAACGTTTTGAATTTGTAATAGACTTTTGGTAAAATAGTTCACTGTGAACGACAGAACACTTTCAGTTAGGTTTTCATCGCTTGTATGAGTTTTGTTCTGGGAAATAAAAGAGATTTAATAATTTTCCGGGAAAATCCAATAGATTCAGTGTGTCGTTTAGACTGTGCTAAATACTTAAATCACTGTACAAATTTAGAAACATTTCCATTGATCAATTTATTTTTAACCAACAAAGCAAGCGAGGTTTATTCTATGATGTCTGTGATGTTTGATCCTGAAATATAAAGTACTTGAGAGGCACTGAGAAACGACAGAGAAGTTTATCTTCACAGACGACCTGCTACTTTTAGATTGTTTACAATGTAGCTATGTAAATAGAAAGTTCAAAAACACGAAATTGAAACCTGTATACAGACGAAAATGCCCGTTCCAAACTTTTACCGGATACTTTTTTTGGCCAGTCGTCTACAAAACATTTTTAGGATTACAAATTAACGGAAACTAGTAATTACTAATCGACGTAACCACAATGTTTGAAGAAATTGCGAGACATTCCAGGAGTGATTGTGCTAAGACCTTGGAAAATAGCAATATCTGTGTGCACTTCGGCAAACTTAGAGTGCCTTCGAAGCCATCCCTTCAATTGTCTGAAACAATGTTCGCAGGTATTATACTAGGGATGGTAAGGTGGTTGATAAATCAAGGCAATGCCGCGGGCTGCCAACATATTTCTTAAAACTGGTTCCACATGTCTGGCATGGTGAAAACCGCAATTATCCATAATTACGGTATCACCAACTTTAAGAAGTGGGTTCCCAAAAGAATCTTCTTCTTCTAATGCTTCTGCGAAGAAATTAAGAAGTTCAAGTCTATTAGAAGGCCCAGGTAACAAATTGACGTGTCCAACGCCATACATATTATGCAGAAGATTTACGGTAAGGGTAGCATTGCTTGCGTATCGCTGAACTTCCAAAGCTGGATGGCCTATTCTTGAATGTCCGTAATGTCTGTTTCCAGTCGTCTTCACTACTGAAGACTCATCAAAAAAGTGCATTGTCCTTGGATCAATAGTCGCGCAAACTGTTAAGTATTCAAACAATCTGTTTTCATTTTCAGGAGTCAATGATTCTTGTGGAATAACGCTAGTTTTCTTGTAAGAATAGCCCAAATCGTGCTTTAAGCTACGGCTTATCGATGAACACGACGGGACATTTTCAGGCAAACACACTTTGTCTTCCACCAATTTGTTTTGGATCTCACTGCTGTAAATGCTGGGCTTTAATTTTTTACAGTACTCAATATAAACATTAACATCGTCAGTACGCGCTAACCGAGTATTATTTCCCCCTTTTTCGGCTTCTGAATTCCCTCTACGGACGAAGTTGTCCACGATGTTGGCAATGGTTTGTTTCTGTAGACGTAGCTCTTTCCCTATTTGTGTTGGCCCTTTCCCTTCTAACCAGCTTTCAATAATTTTCTCCCTAACAGAACTTGGGATTGCTTTTCCTTGCAATGTGAATGGATTCATTTTAATGATAATTACCCAACCAACGGCTGTTTAACCGAATAGCGTGAACTTCCCTCTCAACGAATATGGCAACTTCCCAACGAAGTTCGGCGCGAAATTTACAACTTTGGTTCAAATTTCCCGACTTGATTGACAACTGCGTAATGAAATTGCCGAGTTCGTGGCGAACTTCGGGAATTTGAAACGAACTTCGGAAACCGTTTGTCAAAAGTATTGTGAAACGCACTGTAAACTTCCTTGTGTTAATCCGACATCCCTGCGTGCTGATAGTCAGTGAATAATTATCCTCAAAACATTCCAACTCGTAACATTATATTGGTAGTCTTTACAATAGAGCCTAAATAAGCTAAGAAATATTTCAAGACAAGTAAATTTTAATTACTTCAAGTAAAATAAAACGTTACTCACAACCGATTCTTTTTTACTTCAGGTTATTTTCCCACGCAACAAAATTAAGATTGATCGACATGTCTCGCCTTCCTCAAAGCTCAAGAAACCGCAAAACCTCAAGTCAGCTAAGTCGCTTATAAGGATGGTTTTCAAGTCGCTTGAAACTTTCTTGAATCGTTTCAACTTTCCGACTTTAATAAGATGCAAAGGAAAGTTACTTGAGATTTAACTTAGGTCTTCACACACGAATTTTTGGTTAAGTAAAACTTAGCCGCTCTTAAGTCTTACTTAACAGCCTAGTGTAAAGACAACCATTAAGTTTTAGCCCATTCCACGCTCAACGTAATTGACTCCTTACCCATGCCTTACATATCTTTAATCAGTACATGAGACTGCTATGCTGTTTTTGAAGCCTGATGTGACTAAGAAAAATAGAGAATTCTTTTTTCACTGTTCGTTTTGTTAGACTTGTTATTCACCGCCAGTAACCTCATATTTGACTTAGGTCTAAACGTTTAGAACCAAGTCAAATTTAGAAGGATTTGCATGGAGTCATCAAAGCATAACTGGGCTAATATGTCAGAGACAATTTGTCCCGAAATGCTAGTTTTTGGAAGTAGGCCTCTTGGATGTTGCTCTTTTCAGAATATCCTGACAAATCCCATAATTTCACAGACTAACACCTCACTCTTACCATATTTCATTTCTTACTATTTTTCGGCATTTATAATTAATCAGTTCCTCGACCACGACGCCGAAGTGTACGCTCCGTAGCGTCTTGTTATATAAAGAATACTAATAAGGATAAAATTTTTAAAGTTGTTTGACATTGTTTTGCCGGGGTTTAAAACACGAGTACGTGACGGATTTTAGCAGACGTGATAGATTGTTAAAATCATGAATTATTAATGAGATTTTGAACAAATTTACAAATCCCGGCCAACGACCTAAGATTCTCTCTCTGCCCCATTATTTTCTCATGGTCTGGGGTACTTTCTTGGCGGCAGGCAAGCTACAGACCCCCGCCCTCAATCTATGAAACTCTGAATCTATGGATTCTTGTATTCTAGAACGGATTTTGTATTTGTCCACAAAAATCCAAAAATGGATGGCTCTCCCGTACGGGTCACTAAATCTTCCAGATTAAATCGACGTTTAACTTTTCTGTGCTTTAGTTTGAAACTTAGCACATTTTGTTGTCAAAACTCGAATTTTTTATATTCACAGTACGGATTCTGGGACATCTTTGCACGTCTGTAGTCACTGACCAAGATTATTTCAATAATGAAAACGAAGTTTGATGGTATGTACCTCATGTAAGACTTCATATAATGTCGTAAGCCATTCCTTCATCCTAATTTTAGGGCTGGATCGATTTGTGGGGGGGGGGCCGTTGATATTCGAGGGGGTAGTGCAAAAGAGAGGGCCTCTAGATTTTAGATCTGCAGAGGTTGGCATCTAATTGGTGATCTGGATCTGGTGAAATCTCTGAATCGTTTTTAGCCCGAGATAATTGATATCGATGAGTTTCCTTTTGCCAGCAATTCAACTGATTAGTTCTGATCTTGCTGTTGAAAATTATGCTTCATTTCCGTCGTCGTGGTTGCTCAAGCTGATTGCGTTTCCTCGAAAAGCAATTCCCGAACCACTTCCGCAGGTACCCACAGAGAGACTCAACCTTTTACATACATAGAGAATGAAGAACATAACATTGAGTGACTTTTAATGCTTTCTTTTCGATTGCTCAATACTTTTTCTTTAACAGATCGACCAGAACTGATAATGTTCCTGGCTGAAAAGAAGCCTTCTCTAATGCTCCTGAATACGTAAAACTATTCACTTCATTTGCACGTTGATTTCGGGNACTTTTTGTTGTCAAAACTTTAATTTTTTATATTCATAGTACGGATTCTTGTACATCTTTGTACGTCGGTAGTCACTGACCAAGATTATTTCAATAATGAATACGAAGTTTGATGGTATGTTCCTCATGTAAGACTTCATATAATGTCGTAAGCCATTCCTTCACCCTAATTTTAGGGCTGGATCGATTTGTGGGGGGGGGGCCGTTGATATTCGAGGGGGTAGTGCAAAAGAGAGGGCCTCTAGATTTTAGATCTGCAGAGGTTGGCATCTAATTGGTGATCTGGATCTGGTGAAATCTCTGAATCGTTTTTAGCCCGAGATAATTGATATCGATGAGTTTCCTTTTGCCAGCAATTCAACTGATTAGTTCTGATCTTGCTGTTGAAAATTATGCTTCATTTCCGTCGTCGTGGTTGCTCAAGCTGATTGCGTTTCCTCGAAAAGCAATTCCCGAACCACTTCCGCAGGTACCCACAGAGAGACTCAACCTTTTACATACATAGAGAATGAAGAACATAACATTGAGTGACTTTTAATGCTTTCTTTTCGATTGCTCAATACTTTTTCTTTAACAGATCGACCAGAACTGATAATGTTCCTGGCTGAAAAGAAGCCTTCTCTAATGCTCCTGAATACGTAAAACTATTCACTTCATTTGCACGTTGATTTCGGGTAGTTCTTGTGGTTCTCGTTGAATTTTGAATCGTATTTCTTAAAGCATTTTGCAGCCTCGGCATCACATTCGCACAGCTTCTTTTGAACGCAAGAATTCCAAGGGCTTCCCACTAAAATAGAAAAAAAAGGAAAACATAATGTTCAAGTTAGAGAATACGGCAAAAACACTTGCATTATGCACGCAGCCATTATTTGCGGTGTGTCTTATATCCTCGTGTAGCCACAAGAGCGTTTTACCTTTGCAAACTGCATACATCCCACAATATATACTAAAACATGTTGATGTCACATTTTCAGAGCAAAATATCAGAAAGTTTACGTCTTATGCTGTTGATTATTGCTTTTTTATTTAGTTGCTTTCAATGGTATTATTGAAATAAGCAAGAGCTGCAAAATTTTATAAAATTTAAGCCAATACAAGATGGTTAGAAGCTCGTTAGTTAAAGTGTGTTGATTGCATCCAATTAAGGGTTGGAAACGGATGTGTGCGAAATAAGCGCATTGCATTCACTATACGTTCGGCTCATTTTATATTGTAAGGCAGTTGCTATATATGTTTGTTTGTTTGTTTCTTATTGTTGTTGTGTTTTTAATTTTCGAGGGGGTGGCGGGGTCTTATTAATTGTCAGTGATTATGTAATATACTGGCTGGGTGTCCTGTGATTATCATACCCATTAGTAGTGAGGGCACGTCTTGTAAGACCGCCATCTTGGTGAAGTAAATTATTCTTGTTGTCACACATCTGTTGTACTTTACTTCTTTATTACAATTAGATCAAGGAGCGCACTTACTGTAATAATCTTTACGAACGACTAGGATGGCTGAGGATTCCAAACAGTTTTAATCTCTAGTACGGAAGTACACAACATGGCCGAAGCTCACACACTAATAACTATGTACGCATGCGTACGGAAATACCGCTGATCATTACACTTACCACAACCCGAACAACCCTTCCGTAGGTAGAGAATTAAGTACAACTCAACAATGTGATAGGACTTGCCGCAAGCTTCTTTCGGTTGCAACTTATAATGACACATGTCGTGCGCATAACAGCACCTGCAATAAGCATTGGAAAACAGCATTCTAAAAAAAGACCCTCTGGTCGCAGTTTGTGAAACACTAATTGCTGGTTTTCACTGTCATTAAAAACAAAGAAAATCCAAAAGATCAAAACCTTTTAATAAATTAAGTCCAGTATCTGGGAAATAGGAGAAGGTAAATATGCACAGACCCTCATTAGATTCAGGTCAGTGCAATTTTCATTTGCGGGATATTGGAAGAAATGATTTACCAAATTTTATAGAGCTTTGTATGGAGACGTCATGTTGGTGCCCATCCGGATGGACACCAACATAACGCAAGGAAACTAACAGAAACGTCTGTCGCTGAGTTTTGCTACTAAAGCGGAAATTCATTTCTAGAGGAACTCATAAACACTGAAGTATTACTTTTTCTAATACAATGACTATTAATACAGCATAAATCTCCCAAATAGGTCACTTTTTCAACCTACATGACAGCTTTCTCGGCCACCATGTAAAAATCGCGTCACGCAAAAGCTTAGAACTATCACAAAACGAGGAACCCTTTAGAAAAAATTGTATAGATCTTAGCTTTTAGCTCCTTTAATAATTTAGGGAGGTAAAAACTCAGGAAGATTGATATGTAATGCGAAAACCGGGAACACGAGCGCCATCCTCTCCTCTTGCCTGTTAAAGCCAGTGTAAATAAGGGTTATAGGATTGTATGTATATGTTATTAACGAAGTGCAAGGACCTTACTGGTAGAATATTGGCCCAAGGTCTTGACAGAACAGACCAACCCCAGCGAGGTCCTTACAAAAAAAGGGGGGGGGTCGATATTTTCCCTGAACGGTCTTGAGCAAGTTTTATTACAGGAGATTTACTACACGACTGAAAAATTTATTAGTAGATTTTCACAAGATAACAATTACTCAACACAGTTAACTGTATACGAAAAACATTAAGATGAATTATCTCGTGATTATAGCTTTGAGGCCGTCCGATACTTCAGTGGGGAAAAGATTTTATTGGGTTTGTTTCATAAACCTGTAAAAGTACATAATATATAAAATGTGAGGATTTTGCCAGGTAAGATTTTTTGTAAGCTATAACCAACTTTTTTTAATAAACGGTGCTTGGCATTCATCCGTTATCGCTTTGAAAACATATTTTTTTAAATAACCTTTTCTAATATTAAGTTTTAGGGCAAATTCTTCGGAGGACATCAAACTTGTTCCTCCTCTCGATTGCACGGGTTTGCGCGGAATCATTCGGGATAATTACTTGATGCCCCAGGTCCAACACTTCAACACTTGACCGCTAACCAAGAAGCGGGAAACAATATTCGAAATAGAGACGACAGACGTTCGAACGGAACTGCGGGGTAAGGACACCCCCCCCCCCTCCCCCCTTACAGACTTCGTGTATTATAACATGGGTATTTACCAGTCAATCTCGTCCACGGGTGTTCCTTTTCCTCCTTGTCCGCAATAACACCCGTAACCATTGTACTCCAGAGGACTTCGCTTCGTTTCACACGCAATCATAAACCCAAACTGTAGAACACTTCTTTTGGACATCCGTGTCTGGGGAATACCTGAAATACAATTAAAATAATTGTGTGACTGTAATTGCTTCTCTTTTCCTTTCTAAATATATGTACGTTTTCAATATCCATTTGAGAATTGTGACCCACACCAATTTTTAGTTGACCCGAGTTGACCCAGCCGGACGAGGCAAAGTGTTTATATGGAGAAACGTTAGCCCAGCTAGGAGGATGCCCTCCCATCGAAAAAGTGTAACAGCCGGGTTACCATTCTAGCCAAGCCAACTTTTTGTTTCTCGTGTAAATGGTTCGCTGCGCTTTGTGACGAAGCGTACAAAACGTTGACCGATCCAGGGTAGCTGGAGTGAGCGAGTGACTCTTCTATCCAGGACTGAAGTTATCTCTATATAAACTGGGCCTCACAATCAATATGCTGGACCTTAGCAAACAAGGCACGTAATATTTAAAAAAAAAAACAATTTAGCCTCTCAAATAAAACAGATGTTTACCCCCAAAGTTATTTAAGAAGGAACAACGTTGAGGCAGATCCCAGTATGCCTGCTGGACCACAGCAAACACACACAAAAAAACAGGTTGATCACAAGAAACATAATTTAATTAATTGAGAAGGTGTTGTTAAACAGATCATTCAAAGAGAGTGTCCATAGTGTACGAGATCCTTTTATGGAAAGAGGGGTAACAACGATTGCAACTTACAACAAGGACCCCATTCCATTCAACAAAAATTTACATTCCGGTTCCGGTACAATCCGGTTGCACCAAGCCAGGTTAACAGGATTCAGAAGAGTGGTATTGGAGACAACAATTTTGTCAAATGGAGAGGAACATTTCGGTCCCACTCAAAGTGGACCACCTCCAAAGATGGTGCCAAATACTTCTGTCAGACCAAACCGAAATGGTCTGTTCAATTTGATTTCTAACCCAATTCTGGGATGAATGAAAAGCACCCAAGATGAAAATTTCGTATTAACTTCTCAGTAAAGATACTGTCGTGATCTGCTGGCTGCGCTGACAAGACATGACGCTAGGCTTGATAGATTGTGCAAGCATAATTTCTGGCATTAATTCGTCATTACGAGCACAATTTTCATCTATCTTCCGAAAACAGCACTGCTAGCATAATTTGCACTTACCGCTTTTGGCTGGTTTTGCAGCTCAAAATTATCATTTTTTGCTCAACGTATTTGCACAACTAGCTCACTTACCCAAGATGGCGTCCGCAAGCTGGTTGCTATTTTTTAGAGTTTTTAAAGATGTCATACCATAAATTACAAACATTAACCAAAAAGGACTGCAAAGGACCGCAAACGAATGTGCCAAAGAACGTAGAATCTATAAAGACCTGATCAGAAAAATTATGTCTCTCTACAATAAATTATGAACCGGTAAAGTTTCTTCTGATAATAAGGGTGAATGTGTTTTTGCCAAATTCATTCATTTTTACCAAATTCATACTTCCTATATTTTTTACTAACATGGGCGTAATTTACTAAAAACTAACATAATTATCGGCATAATTTTCAAGGAGAAATGTACTAGCTTTGCTAGTAGCATATTGTGCTACTTTTTGCGAGTACAGTCTATCCGAAAGCCTACCCGAGGCAGTCAAAATTCGGGGGCGGGTCCAGGATTCTTCTTAGGAGGGGCTGCTGCACCACTACCATTTTAACTACCATTTTTATGGCGTTGAACATAAATTCTTCAACCTCGTCTCACGTTTTACTTCATTACCAATAAACAGCAAAGTTTTTTTGCAGAATACCAGATGTCATTAGAAAGCCACAACGGGGGTGCGCACGCTCCCCCTAGCTCTCCCCTGAAATTGGACTATTGGCTTAGCTCTACCTTATATTATACTGTTCTTTTAAAACGTTTTTTAAAAAAAACAATAAACATTCACTGTACTTGAATGCTTTTGACAGGCGGATCTCGATACGATGGTATCAAGTCCCACAAATCGACTGGTCATTTTTGATAACTGGAGTAGACAAAAAACAAAGCAACAATAGAACAATTTTCATATGACCGTAAAGTGCCCATCACCTAAGATTTTATATTTTCTTATCTGAAACTATACCTTATTAAAATAAGTTTTTAAACAAAACAAAACGAAAACATCCGTTTCTCCACGCTCTTCGCCGATGGGAACGTTTCGCGCGGAGGAACGTTTGCGACTCAGCGACAGAAATTCCATACTGATGACGTAAAATCTGTCCGGAATCCAGTCAGAAGCGCTGATTGGTCGACGAAGTAGTTACATTGTTTTAGCTATTGTTTACGAATGACAGACAAAAGACAAAAGACCACAAAGGTCAAATGTAAACGCGAAGAGTCTCAAACAAAACAGTCAATGTTTGTGGAAATATAGTCTTCTCTAGAAGAAGCACGTGAGTTTTGCTGGAGCTCGTTGGCAGATGAACACAACAATTTACCAAAATCGACCAGAAGACACGTAAAATTGGACAAATTTGTATTTGGAACCCCATGACTACTGGATTTATTATGTAAACGTTGGATTGCGTCATCAGCATGGAATTTCTGTCGCTGAGTCGCAGACGTTCCTCCTCGCGAAACGTCCGCGGCGGCGAAGAGCGAGGAGAAACGGATGTTTCGAAGGCTAAAATAAGTTCTGCGAAAAAAATTTGCCATCTCAACAAAAGGCGATTTTTTAACCAATTTTTTTTGCGGTACACCCGCGCCGCTGATCACGCAAACTAGTAAGCTCATATATGACGTCATGTGACGTAAATTAAGGAACTCGCATTACCTTTCCTTCACCAGCTGTACACAAAAAAGATCAATTACAATTAAGGATTGAATCACAATGTCTTCGCAAGAAGAAAGTTTTTCTGAAACAAAAAACCTACCAGAACTTTTAATGTTTTCCTGTCGATAAAGTCACGTGTTCCTTAAATTACGTCATACCCCGAAAGAAGACTAAGAAGAATGCTGTGCCAAAATGGCGGCAAATTTGATCGTTTTTAAAAAATTCTAAAAAAATCGTCTTTGGTTCAAATCGCGAAATTTTTTCGCAGAAGTTATTTTAATAAGGTGTGGTTTCAGATAAGAAAATAAAAAATTTTAGGTGATGGGCACTTTAAAATGAAAACACACTAACAAAACAGAAACAACAAACGAACGGAAATAGAGCGATTTGATTGGTTTATAGAACGGACACAAACGCGCGTGGCTTTTGGTTGGTTAAGCGAACGCTCAGGAGAAAAAAATTCATGCCCGAGAACTTTATAGAAATCAATCGATACTTTGCTTTGACGTCATATTGCAATACGATTGGCCAATCAGACCATGCTTTCTACATGTTAGGGTTTTCTTTGGCGGGAGAACTAAGAGTGCAAGTTTTGATCTTTTCATCCATTGGCTTATAAAACAAATAACGAACACTTACCTAAACTATTTTTCAAGGTCATACGAAAATCACTCTAAATGACGTTTAGAGCAAAAGTCTCTTGCCACTAATACTTTGACGAATTCAAAGTGTAAAAATAGTTTTTTGAAAAAAAAACTGTGTCAAAAGCATTTGCGGTGTTTTTATGAAACTTACATTCTAAGTAAACATAGGAATTAATTAAAAATCGTTACCGAGTAAGCTGGAAAATCATATGTATCACTAGAAGTTCATTCTTATACTGAATGATCTCAGTTTTGACAGTTTTGTTTCTCACATGGCATGCTTAACTTTGTAGTTGTGGACGCCTTGAAAATGAGGTCACAAGATCCCCCTCAGGAATCAGCCAGGGGGTTTCAGTGGCTTACTGACCGCTTGATACAGCTTACACACTGTAACTGTTGTACTAATACCATACTAGTGCAAATTGTCAAAGTGACAGTTTAATAGAGGTGAAGACAATGAAAAATAACTCGTTGGGACCTCGGAAAAGGTAACCGCAGGTTAGCCCTATAAATAAACAAAGTGTTTTCCGGGACTTGGTAAGTGATTGACCGCAAAATACAGTTTCGCTGATCAGGTTTGGCTAGGTATTCGTCTCTTCTAGCAAATCCGAATAAATAATTACCTACCGCTGCTGAGCAACAACAAAATCAACACAGCTGGGGCGCGACCTTATTAATTACACCTGTTTAACGAAAAAAAAAGTCACACCAGTTTGTTAATTTGACCCTAAGCCTAAGCTTGATAGAAAAATGTTTGCAAAGCCCTTACTAAACTGGTCGTGATATTGCGTTCTATTGCTAAAGGCGAAACTAAAACTTATTAAAACCACATTTCTAATGAAGATAACAATAATAACTTTATTTCCATGTCAATAAATTTAACTTAAAAAAGTAAGCGCCATATACAAAATTAATTGAGAAAGGTACATATTTTTTTAGAAAATTTTATTATGAAATATAATAAATGCAGTTTAAAAACAAAAAGAAATGTTTCAATGTGTCTTCATTTTTGATGTGCTATTCTTTGGTCGGTTATTAAAAAGCTCAGCTGAGTTTTGCAGTCTGCACAAAAGAACTTTACCCCTCTTAAGCCGTAGAAAAGTGGTTAAATTAGTGATCTAATAGAGAGCTTTAGATTTGAGGACGAAGACGACTGCGAGTGCGAGATTTAACTTAAAATTTTTTCGCGTATTCTAGAAAAATATTCAACCCAGATCGCTTCATTGTTCTTTTTTTCACCTGAAGCATTAGTAGGGTTATTTTCATTAAAGAATGTTTTAGCCCTCTTCCAGTCGCAAAATCTTTAAACTTCTAACATTGGATAACTTGTTCCCGCTGCTACGACGTTCTCGCTAAAACTCGAAGGCTATCACCTTTTCTCGCCAAAATGACGCTGGTTTACGCGTAAGCAATACTCAGTATTGAGAAATCTAGTACTCGTAGTCGTCCTCGTCTCAGAATCTAAAGCTCTCTAATATTTCCATTGAGCGAAAAACACTTGGCTAAACGAACTGTGTAAATTTTAGTTGAAATTTTTGAAAAATAAAAGGCTCAATAATTACCGTGGGGTATCTTTAACGGGAATTGTCTCACCTATTCCATATGAGCTGATTCCTGCTAAAAACAGCATGAAGATCAAAATGGAGGAAGAACTTTTCATGGCCTCTCCTATACTCCACGACAAGAAAGACTGCTTCTTTGAGAATAAAACAGGGACACGAAGCAGTGAATTTCATGAATTAAATGGCTAACTTATTGATTAGGGTTGATTGATTGATGGATTGATTGATTAGTTGATCGCTCAATTGATCGATTGGCTTACTGAGTAACTTGTTCACTTCTATGTTAGGGGACTGGGTAATTGTTAGAGAGTGACTGCGCTCTTTAAATTGACCAAGGCCGGATGACTGGTACAGTTTTCATTGACCTGCGGAAAGCATTCGATACCGTCAACCATGTCAAGTGCTGCTGGAGTTTGGCTATTCCGGTTACCGTGGTTTGCCAATATTGAAAGGCAATGAAATACTAATAATAATACACACAGCAGTAATAACTGTAGATCTAATAACCGTAGGGCGTGCGACGTCACATAGTGATTATGATCATAACTATTATCTAAAAGTGCTTCCTTCATTTTTTCGCCAGAAGAACACGCAGCGGATAAAACATATTTGCGCATACTAATATTTATGAAAGGAACTAAGTAAGGGACAATCAACTGTACCTAGCGAATCATAAGAAAGTCATTTGGATCCTATTCAATAGAATATATGAGAAGCGCAACTTCCCCGCAACTCTGTGTTAATAATATTTTGCGATTTATTTACAAACTCTTTTTATTGTTTCAAAACCCTGGTGATTTTCTTTAAAAGCTAATGAGCTACAAAAGCCGGGCACGTTAATACTGAGTTGAAGAAAAGAATTCAAAAACAATTTTCTCTCCCTCTCTCTCTCTCTCTCTCTCTCTCTCTCTCTCTCTCTTTCTGTTTTAATAAAACAAACAATTTGAAATTAGAGATTGAATCAATCAAACTGTTTTTAGCTCTTATTAACTGAGCGGGAGTTCTGTATGGAAGAATCTTGACCGATTTCGCCACTATACAGACCGAACGCAGTGAGGTCTTACCAGCGACCGAGGTCAAGATTCTCCCATACAGAACTCCCGCTCAGTTAATAATATGTTTATTATATGGCCAAACAAAAAAGCAAAGGAACAAAAACATAAATAATTTTATTTGCTTCCCTGCGCGTGGCTTTCTTCTGTCACTGGTCTCCAGTCCAAACGGGACAAAAATAACTGTCCAAAGTCCAGCTTTGTACAAACTTCGTCAATGAATGAAGACAAAATTTTTCATACAGGCTCAATGAAAAAGCTTGTGGTTGAAAATGAAATTTCTGGC